ACCTACATGCTTTGAACATGCAACAAGTTCAAGCAATGCCTGAACGTGCTCACCGGAACCACATTTGTCAACATATCTGCCGGATTGTCTTCTGTATGTACCTTTCACGAAAAAAAAATCAACTCCCTTATTTAATGGATCCTTATATCAATGTGATTTCTCCTTGCATAATATACTTGATTCTTTGCAAAGTAAATTGCACTCTAATTTTCACAATTTAACGGAATCCTGTGGTAACCCAAATTTCGGTCACTAACCCCTTAAGCCGTAGAGCTTATGCTGCCATGTATTTCGGCTACTTGACTGTAGCATTGATCTGCAACATATAGGTCCACCAACTAATGTGTAAACAAATCATGTAGTAAACTTTCTATTATCAAGATCTCCACCATAATTAGAATCCAAATATCTTACAACCGCACCTGGAAACAACGCTCATTGCATGAGCAATATCAGGCCGAGGGTATACATGGCATAGATTGAGCAACCTAGCACATTGGCATATGGAATCCGAGACATCCTATTTTCCCAATGCTTGGACTTATGATTTTCCTTTGCAGACAACTAGAAGTGTTTTGCTAGAGGCATCGACTTTGGTTCTGCCTTACCATATTGAACCTTTGTAGCACCTTATCGATGTTATCGTTCTGAGATAACATTAGCTTGCCTGCCCGTCTGTCCTTGTAAATTTCCCTATCTTGGTTCTTCTTTGTAGCACCAAAATCCATCATATGATCAAACTCTTTACTCAACAAGAGTTTCAACCCATTAATATCTCATGTTCTTTTAGTAGTAATCAACATATCATCCACATAAAACAACAAGAGAATAATAGATCCTTCTTAAAGATACTTGACATAAAGGCATCGTCAATCATACTCACAACTTTTGTAGCCAATACCAACCATGAAAGAGTTAAACTTTTTGTACCACTGCATCGGTGTTTGCTTTAAGCCATATAATGAATTCTTTAGTTTACATACGTAGTGTTCTTTGCTTTTCTGTTTGAACCCTTCTGGCTGATCCATGTGAATTGTTTGCTCCAATTTGTTGTAGAGAAAAGCTGTTTTCACATCCATTTACTGAAGTTCAACATCGAACTCAGCAACCATGGCTAACACAATATTAATAGAGGTATGTTTAACAATTGGAGAAAATATCTCATTGTAATCAACACTATCATCTTGTGAGTACCCCTTTGCTA